TGCAAACAAGCCAGATATCAGTATACTAGACAATTAGAACAAAGAATTGTCTCTAGTGGAAGGTACGATATGTATTCCAGGAACAATTGCTGAAAGAACCAAGTACAAACAGAACAAGTATGTAGACCTTAGATTGGGGATAAAGAACTTGTATCCAGGTTACAAAGTGAAGCTTATCACCATAGTATTTGACTATCACCATAGTAATTGACTATCTTGGTGCATACTAAAAAGACCTAGATAAAAAACTGAATATGTTATTTGGGCCGAAAGTAGCAAGGCTAACAATTGAACGTTCCCAGAAATGGGTTATTTCACAGAACTGTGAAATTCTAAGGAGATCTTCATGCGTGTAACTATGTAAATGCATGAATATAGTGATATAATAGTTAAAAGAACAGATTTTAGCTTTATATACTGAGCCTCTCAAGTACATGAACAATGAGAATTTTTAGTTTATTTATCTCATTCAAGGGTGTATTTTTTGTTACTTTCCATTATTTTAGACATATAAATTTATACAATGTGTACATATATATATTTTATATTCTAGTCCACATTGCCTAGGCTGTGCCTGCAATAATATTGATATCTACATTGAATTATTTTACCAATAAAGTTTACCATAATAATGATAATGATAATGACAATAGAGATGACAATAATAGAAAATTCCATTTTTTTGTCATCAGTTGAGTAAAATACATAATCTAAAATTTTTGGAATCTAAACTTATCATTATAACCTAAACTTATAATATGGTATTAGTGATAATGGTAATAATAATCATGGTAATTGTAATGATAATAATGATAATAATTATGCTAGTGATAATGATAATTGTGATATAATTTCATGAAAAGTTATGTTACCTAAGATTACTGTACCTCCCTACTTGTTACAATTTTTTTATCTGATGATTTGCAATGCAAAACATTGGAGAAGACCTAATGCACTTTTAAAAAGAACTACTTGTATCTGTAGGAAGAAAACCTCTCAAACCACCAGTCTTTGGGGAAATTTGTGCAATCTTAGCAAGAATATAAAGATATTTTCAAACACAGGAAAATTTATCTTTTACCAAATGCATTCCTTTTGTAAAATCATACTGTTATGTGCCTAATCAATTCTAAGTGTGCTGGCCATATAAATTTCAAGCTCAATAATGAATCCTCTAGTACTAGGGCCACTGTAAAATGCTGCATTGCATCCTTGCAAAATTCCCAAAACTTTTGAGGTAATAAGTTGATCCTTTCTCCTCCATGATTTTGTCTGTGACTGTGTTCTATTCTTCAGGTTCTGCATCATAGAAAGACGGTCGTATACCACTTAGTGCAACTGAAACCAAGCAAAAGTTATGAGTTGCGAGTGTCATACCCTTCTACGGTACTATGCTTTGAATTATTTTGTTTTATGTGAAATTCATGGTGGACTTGTGGTGAGTGTCACTCTTCTGATCACAAGATCCAGCTTCAAGCTGCAGATGAATCAAAGTGTTATGTTTGTGAGTAAGACATTTAGCTACCACATTTCCTCTTGTTGACCATGGATATAAATAAGTATCACAAAACTCTTAGGGTAACAAATGAAATGCGAGGGGGAGGGCTTAACACTGCAATGAACTAGCATACCATTAAGGGAGAATTCTAAAAATAGTAGTAATACTCCTAGTGTTAACCCTTTATACCCTAACATCAGTATCAATATTCTCTATACTCTTCTCTATACAATTCCTTTGATACTGAAAAGGAGAATCCATTTAACAATCACAGCTTCTGAGGTTGGTGATCTTTTTCTTTATTCTCATGATCTTAATGTTTAATTCAGCAGTATTACAGTAAGGAGAAATTAGATGCTGGTCACTCTTAGGGGTTAACAGTTAATATCATTCTAGTTTGTATGTTGAAGCAGTACTTTCTATTGGTGAGAAATAAAATCAAAAAAGAAATGGCAATCCAAACTTTATACTGTCTTTGATTTGCACTTCTTTTCTATTTTTCACGCCTGACATATACTCTCTCCCTCCCCATCTTTTTTAAGTCCTTGTTGGCCTTTTGAGGGACTTTCCTTTAAAGCAAGTTTCATTAAAGGGTGAAAAATGGACTTCGATGATTTATCACCTCACTATTTACTGTGAATCAACAGCAGCTACACAAACTGCCCACCACAGCTATTTTGTTAATTCATCTTGATGATTTTATCCTACCCCTTACTCCCCACCCCTCCCCTCCCAACAAAAGTGTGCCTCTACACAAATTCCAACACTTTTTAGTAGTCAGATGCTGAGTAAGTTAGCCCAGCTGAAATTGAAATATTTGTCCTCCAAGCAGAATTTCTCAAAATATCTCATAGCATATGCAATGTTATTTTTCTTGTCAGACCCCAACAGATTTTTATATCCAGCTGATTCCTCACAAAGCTCTACAGGCTCGTAAAACAAGGAAACTCCTTAATATTGAAAAACTGGTTTTCAGTAATGAGTTAAAGGTATCAGTTTTACTTATATTAAATAGTTTTTAATTTTTTTGTGCGTAGATGTGAATATATCTTCCTTAAGTTCCAAATCTAGCTGAAGTAGAGGGTATGAATATTGGGATATTCTATCTTTCACAAACTTCTGTGCAAGTGCCTTGTCATTTACTCTGAACACTCTTCTAAAAGATGTGTATTGCAAGTAATTCTTATTGTCTAAAGTTATATTGAAAAAACACATTTTTCTTTGATAATGTTGAATTATGTACACTAGATCATTGAAATTTTTTCCAGAGATTTGGTAGTCATGTGGTTATGGGCTGGACTCCTCATTGAAAGGTTGTCTTGTGATCTAAGTTGGTATCACCAATTGTGTCCTGTCCTTGAGCAAGACACTGTATCACACAGTGCCTCTCTCCACTCAAGAGTTCAACTGGGTGCTGGTTAACTGTCAAAGAAACCTTACCAAATGCTTGGGGTGGGATAACCTTGTCATGGACCAGAAACCCTTCTAGGGTGGTGGGGGGCGGGAGGCGGGAGTAGGAACATTTTTAGTCATTTATTGTAGCTATGAAAACCAAGAGGAACTTGAGGGCTTTGATGTGTGTTGTTCTTCATGTTGGGCAGCCTACATAGATTTTAACAAAAGATAATTTTTACTGAACTTTCAGGAACAATATGCAAATGTCACAGCAGTCAGAACTGGAATTCCTTACAATCCTGCAAGTTTAGCTGAACCTGTAGTTTACAATATAGGCAAGCAGACATTTCTAATTTCTCATCATTCACTGATCACAGTATTACTGAAAAAATTGCGTTAAAAGGTAATTACCTCTTCCTGCTATTAGCGATGAAGAGGGATTCTTGGTTGGCAGAGTTTTACATTTTTTTGCTTTTATTTGTAGTTAAATCACTTTGCCAGGGACTTATGAATTCTTGCAGATCTCTTTTCTTAACTTTCTTGTGATTTTTTATTCAGTATGTTTGTGGCAAATTTTCACAAAAGGAACCCAAGAAATTATTTGATTGTTCCAGTTGTTTCTTTATCCTCCTTCTTACCTGGGGGTTTTAGTCAAGCCATCAGGGGTTCCTTCTTCCTTCATCAAAGGTGTCCAAACAGATTCACTGTCTCATTTGTTTGCTGTGTTGTGCAAGACTAGTGTTAATTTATATTAATACATTGACTGTCATGTTTATTTTCCTTCAGTGCTTGAAGAACTCTTACTGGGAATTCCTTGGCATTCATGGCGGCTTGGTGTTCTTGTTCTTCTTATTGTGTATATAACTTTCAAATATCTTGTTCCCCGCTTCCTAATGTATATTGAAGAAAATGTAAGAATACATGGCAAAAGATAATAGTTTTGCAATAAATTCTACTGGTTCTCTTTGATCATTGATTGTCCTGTGTTGTATTAGTATTCATTTGTTCCTGTAATAAGCTGAATTACACACTCACGCATTTTGATTGCTTCTTCCTTATGATCTTCAATCTAGAGGACAGACATGTAGATAATGTCACTATTGTCAATTTTTTTGTTTTGTTTTTAACATGCTAAACATTTAGATTCCAAGTTGCCATGGGTCTGTTCAGTGATAGATTACAGAAAACTTCAAAATGTGGTAAGAACATCAATGATACACTCAGCTGTGCCTTGTGTGCCACTGTTTTGTTCTGACCACAATTTTACATCATCTGTGATCTATTACTGACCAGGTGTATGGCAAAATGGAATCCCTTTGTTAAACTGTTTGCTCAGTACAAATGATGTTTCTGTAATTAGAAGAGGAAAAAAAAGAAATGATCGACCCATGCAAAGTTCCCTGGGGAAATAAAATGTTGTTTAGTTCTCCCATAGCAATCCAGAAGATGTATGAAATCAGTAAGAACTAGATTGAACATTTTCTGTGTTTCTGATTGACTTGTTTTGACTCCCTAATGCCTCAGAGTGACTTATCTTTTAATGTCTCCTGATAATATCACCATTAAATCAAACACCAAGGTCATGAGAAAAAGAAATGATACCCATGTTGGGAAGCTTTTGATTATTTCACAACTTCTCCTTGTGAGGTGGGAAAGGTATGGAGGATAAGCTTGTTCATGGTTGCATGCAAAGGTTGACTTTTATTTGTCTATGAATAGTATCATTGTGTTAAATCAGAGACAAGGGAAAATATAATTAAAACAATCGCTCTGAAGGAGGCCTAACTCACTAAACATCTGCTTTAGAAGGCCTTTACAATGGCCAATCAACGTTTAGAATTTGGTTGATAAAACCAAATTATTTTGTTAAGTTGAACAGGACATTTGATAAACTTAATTTGACCCTATTCTCCTATATCTGCATCATGATACCATGTATGAATGATCAAAACCAAACTGTCAGTACTGCAATGACTTTTGTCTTGAATTTTTTTCTCCCATATGAAATGGATGGACAAATCAAGGGGTGGACAGGTAGCTTTTGTTGAAATTTGTCTACAAAGATAAAGGGAACAATAATATACTCCAAAACAATTTTTATCATCGCTTGATTTTTAATAAAATACTTTGTACATGATTACAACTGTATTTACAATTTTGTTACTGCCAGTGGCAGGGTTTCTTTTAACTTTTTTCTTTGCTATTTAACCTAAATAACATATACCTTGGAGATAATTCTTAACCACTTTTCCTCAAGAGTGTCGAGCTGGTCACAATTAAACAAAACCGAAAAAAAGGAATCAGGTTGACATTAAACTGGCGCTTGGGTTTTCATTAAAAGAAAGGATTGGCAATGTAAATAACTCTGTGTTTCTCAATGGTTTCAATGTCTCTTTCTAATTGTTTCATTTCTGCCTCCATTCTCTCTTTTCGGGCCTTCTTTGGTGCTGTATCAGTAACGACAGAAAGTCCTTGATATTGGTGGTGAAGTTCCTCCCAGTTCTTTTTTAGTCCATCAAGTATTCCTTGCCTGTAAAATTAAATAAAATATAAATACAATAAATAATTACATGATGCAATATAATGGTAAAATATGAAAATTTTAGAACTTCAAAAGGCAAGTGTCCAGCTACTTTCAATGGCATTTTATATCTAAAAATAATGCACAGTTTAGATCAATAACACCACATAGGTAACACTCAATTCAACAAATCAAGTTCACATAAAGTCCATCATCTGAATTGTTTGAAAACTTTTCATTAATTTAGATTGGGTAGCCAATCTAAATTCATGAAAAGTGAAGCAATGCACAGTAAGGAATAATACACCTCATAACCTATAATAGAAACGATCAGTTCAGGTGATAGCTAATATTAAAAAAACCCTTGTCAATCACCTCTCTTCTTCTGTCAAATTTTTCATTGCTCCTTGTCTACATCTCTCTTGCACATAAGCATCATACTCCATCTGTGCTCTCTCTACTTCAGCCTTCCTTTTTTCCAGATAAGCTGGGGTCTTGCCATAATCTTTCTTGTTCACATATTTTGGAGTGAGACCTGATGGGACCAGTTGATGTGTGGCTCCTCCACGTGTATCCACGAATTTTTTCTCAGGCATCTTGGGCACAGACATGATATTCTCCACAGCATTTGTTGTGATATGATTTTTTGTGGAACGTAATCCCATTAGAGGTTTTTCTGTGTGTTTTGGGACTGGGGGACGTCTTTTATCATGGTCAGGATACGTGAAGTCAGTTTCTAAAAGAAATAGTTGAGTTAATTAATGAGACTGCTATTCAGTACACAGCTTTTTCAATAAAGACTTCCTGTGTTGCCTGGAAAAGCTTGTGTGATCTACAGACTGCGGAAAGAATTATGAAACTACTCCTTCTTACTCAACACACAATTACACTAAAGCATTTTTAAAGCTACAAATAACTATTTTTGATGACTGAGAAGGTTTCTCTGTTAATAAGTAAACTTCGCAATTAATCACTGTTATTTAAAGATCTTTGCTTACTTTCTGGCAGCTTGAACTCCTTGGAATGTTTAGCCAAAAAATCCTTGGGTTCTGTGACAGCTACTTTCGCTGGGCCCTGAGGAGGACAGAGGAAAATTTCAGTCAATACACGATGAAATACGATTGCATACAACCACAGATCAACTGCACAAGACTCACATGGTAACGGAGGTCATTTCTTAACAACAAACGCTTACCATGGTTTTAGAGCTTTGCTTCTTCGTCTTCTGCTCCTGTTTCACGGTTGAAGCAAAATTAGAGCGATACCTGAGGAAATAAATTACTCAGGAGATCAAGGCCATGCTTAAAATGAAACGAAAGGCAACGAAAACTTAAATTTTAAGTTAAGATACAAAATTTCGCAATCGCGGTAAACTTGACAAAGATCAAGGGCCGCGTCGAAATAAAACTTACATTGAAGGCTTTGGAGGCCTCTCTTGAATCTTTGGAATCAAATTGTATATACTTTCTACATAATCTTCTCCTCGCCGTGAAGACACTTGCATAGCCATGGCTGATTTCTTGGTACAACAAACCTAAACCTGTAGTTGGCTTTCCTCAACACTCACAAAGATGGCGGAGCCTTTACTTATAAAACATACGGGTGTTGACTGCCTGTTGCTAGGCAATGATTCTGATCATGTGGTCTCACTGCGTTTTCGATATCGCTGCCTGGCAACAGAGAGTCATTCCCAGTTTTAATTTGGAAATTCTGGGCTTCGGAGGCTTGGGATACAATGACTTGCGACCAGGCCTTTTATTTTCAATTGGAGCTAGAAAATCGCTGAAATACTTCTGAAGGTGTTGAAAAGTATTGTTAACAGGTTTTCTTCTGCAAACCACTTGAAAATAGCGAGAATGATTGGCAAAAGGAGATGAATTTACAAGACAATACAACCCTGCTCAGCTGAGCGCTCTAGTAGTAGCTCAACCCACATGATTTACGACTGGGGTGAGTTAGTCGCTACACTAACCTCGTTTTTCGGGGTACAATAAGGAGGCTGAGAACCAGCGCCCCTTGACTGGTTAACCAGAGGATAAGCTGCACACGAAAACGTTTGTTTTTTTTATTGAACTGCAATTCACTTGGGAATTAGAGCTACTTTTGCTATGAAAAGCTCGCCTCGGTAAATAAAAAAGAACACGTTTTCTTTTTTTCCTGGCAACTAATTTGCCTAACCTCTTGTTGTTGAGCATATTTTAGAGGGGTTACATACATGTTGTTTGGATTTCAGTACAAATTGAGGGAAAGGCAGAAAATTGCTTCCCCAAATCTACAGAAGTTACGAACCCCCTAGACGGAGAATATTCAAACGCATTCTCTTGTAACGAATATGGAATTATTTCCATCAAAACAGACTTCAATTCTAGGAATTCCTGGTGAAAACCCAACAGAAATTAGTAAAACCTATACAGAGCCTTCAATAGGAAAGATATCAATTAGTTACTCTCATCTTAAAAGCTTGTGTTGGTTAGAAAGAATTGAATCAAACGAACATTACGAACAACCTCTTGCAAAGGTTAGATCAAGTTCGCGATGGACATTTAACCGCCAAATACGTACTGCATTTCGAACAAGGTACTGGAACAAGGGGTTCACTGAAGTCTCGGAAAGCGGACCAAGGGCCGCGCTGGAGGTAGTTTACCTGAGGTTACTCTGCTCAATCTCCACACATACTTTCGCTTTGCACCGTTGTTGTAATCACTTTGGTTTTGGTTTAACGAAATACACCCGAAAAGCGCTCCTATGCAACACGTGACAGGAACGACAACTTCGACACGTTTTATTCTGTATTCAATCACAGATAAGCTTACATGAATCAGAGATCTACCTCTCTCGAAAAATTTCCTGAGCGCGAAGTTAAGAATTTATCAGTCAGTCTGAGAAAAAGTTCAGAGAGCGCATGAGGATTACTCAGTAGTTTCAACCTCGAGAAATACCATCTTCAGCATTTTTGTGTTTTTCTTTTAGGTCTAAGTGCTAACTTTCTCTGAGAAATAGACGCAATTCTCATTCGACCCGGGTCAGTCTAGGCCTCAGTGGTTAAAAAACAAGGCGGGCTGTAACCGAACGCGCGTTCAATTCTAAAGAATCCACACACGTGCTTAGCCGAAAGACGAACTGTTCGACCAGGTAGAGTGCTATACCATGAGCATAGGCACCTTTGTTTGCCCAGGCATACATATAGGTTAACACTCGCGAGGCAAATTTTCTTTGTTAGAGATAATGGGGATTGATTTTTTTCAATAATGTAACCTCGTCTTTAAACCTTCCCAAAGCAAAGGAAGCCCAAATTTGTGATCACTACGCAGATATTTAACTATTAATACGTACAGACGTTCCATAATTGCACTGAGGGCATGAAAGCTGATGAAGTAATAAAATCACGTTCCTGTTAATCATTTGTTGGTCTAGTGTATTCAATAACTCACAGGGATTATTAGTTTTGCCACTTTTTAAGAACTTGCGACTACATTTTCGTATTTATGCGCAAACTGTTTCAATTCAATTTCGAGCCCTGAACGCAGGAAACGAAGAAAAGTGCAAACTAACCTAAAACAAAATCTTCAAGTTCTGCTATTTACAGCGTGGCACGTGCACGCTTTCTACAAAGGTTAAAATGTTAAATTACTAAGTGCATGATGATGCTATGTCAGAAAATGTTCGGCGCAGAGCCATTGCCTTGATATCTTCCTCTGATCAGAGGAAATAGGATAGTTCTGATCTTGAGAAATGGTTCTTTTCATCACTGGGTGCTGTGGGATATGCTGCTACCAGAGCATCCTAAAAGGAGACAAAAAGCGGTGACATAGGTAAAATTTCTGAATAACACATAAATGAAAACACGACTAAGACGGAGGAGGATATATGGTAAGAGTAAACGTTAGTGACAGTTTTACCTGTGATCCAATATACAAGCTGTTGTAAATCTTCCAGTAGACATCTCGAACCTTTCGCGCCGGATGAAACATTCCCTGGGAAATGTAACGATAAAAACGTGAGATGAAATGTTTTTTCCAAAGATTTATCCATCACAAAACTATCGACAAGCCACGACATGTAACGCAACGTAACATGACATGAAAGATGTAAAGTTAACCGAAATAAACAATACCCTTTTGACATGGTGCAATTGAAATGATTGGTAAGAGTAAACAGATTCAACTCATGTCAAAAACAAAAACTTCGAAGGAGAAAACCCCAAAAATATTATCGCATAGCAAAGAGTTTTATAGCCTCTCACCTGTAAACAATATTGAAGTACTTTGGAAGGTCCTAAAGCCACTCTCATGCCTTCGATAGACTCCATCACTGCGTTCACGACATGAGGCGACGTCTCAAAGATGTTGGGCCACACGTAATTCATAAGGTGAGTGAGAGCATCTTCACAGCCAAAGCCTGACACACCCAGGGCCATGTGCTTTATTGCGGCACACGCTGTTTGGCGATGAACCAGATCTCTGAAAGGATTGGAAGACCAGTCGTAAGAATAAGTAACTAATACACATGAAAAGGTCATTCTGTTATGAACGAAGACTGACAATATCTAACCCTATGAGGGTCATTGCAGATACCGTAAACGGCTGAATAAGCCCCTGTCTAAAATTTAGAGATTCTACAAAGCCCCCCCTCACCCGTTTCAATGACCTGGAAATAAATCAGTCCCTCCCCACCCCCCGTCGGCTCTCGGAGCGTTGACGATCCTTATACTGAAGTAAACCTGCCACCCCGCCTAAATTCAGCTGGAGATTTTGGTCCATTTTCTGTTTGGAGGATACAGAAACCAATTACAATTTGTTAGTATATATCCCTTAACAGAGCGCCGTTAAATTAAGTGTTTGAACAGCACAGTCTGATTGATTATGGGGATGGCATGAGTTTTCAGGCTCAATCAAAGCATGAAACCACCAAGAATCCGCGTTGCGACGCTGAAACAGAGATGCTCTATAAAACTTTTAGTCTCAAAATGCTTCATAGGTGTGTCTAACCTGTCCATGAGAGCATCTTCCAATAAAGGTGTCACGGCATAGATGTAATCTTTTCCCATTTCGCCAATGTATTCAAACAAGAACGACAGTGACTTCAGGACGCCATTTTGGACGTTCAGCTCTGGGACACGGTATTCATTCATTAGGGCTGGTAGAACAGTGAATGGCGAGCATGTCTCTGCAACAATGGCGATAGCGACAGTGGTGCACACTCTGTTCTGCCGTTCCTGCACTTTCAAGTTGTTGAGCAGAGTGGCGAGTACATCTTGAGGACTAGACGACAGGAAAAGATAACATGGAATTGAGTAAGAAGACGTCGGTATTAATCAACAAAACACTTAAAATTTTTGTTTATGCGACTTAGTGTAACTCAAAGAACAATCTCTGGCCAAACAACCGGGCATATGCCGGAGATTTTCCTCACAAATGGAAAATGTTTAAAATTTCACAAAAAAGATAAAGTTTGCATTGACTAAATTATTTTTGTTTTCGTTTCCAAACCTCTGTTTATAGGAAATTAGCAGACGTAGGCATTGAACAAATTGATAAAATTTCTTTTACGGGATGTCCGTAATACGAAGAAAAATATCACGACGAGTAAGCAGCCGAATGTATCAACTAACTTAAAAGCGAAGACATGAAACATAGTCGGGACCGTTAGGCAAAAATTGTAGATCTGGCTTGGCTCTACAGTAAGTAACTTACCCAATTGCCTTGGCGATGTATCCAAAAGTGTTGACAGTAGCTCTTCTGATAGCTTTCTTGTGGGCCTTCAGCAGTTCAAGGAGCTCAAAACAAATTCTCATCCACTCACGCGCACCGACATGTTCTGCTCCTCTGTCTGCAATCCTACCAACCAAGTCGATACAGTTCTCCTGAACCTTCTCGTGTCTGGTGAAGGAAAAGACCAGATGTAAAGATGATTTCTAGCCCTCTATGGGCCTTTGTAACATCGATATTTCGAAGTGCTAGAATGTGAAGCGAAAATTTTCCTTCAAAGTAACAGACACTTCAAAGTAACAGACACTTCAAAGTAACAGACACTACATAATATCAGCTTGTTTTAATATCAGTTTTCTCAATCCGATGTCTCATTTTTATATTCAAATTTTTCAGTGGCTTTTAATAACGTTCAACAAAGCTTCAGTGTTCGTCATTGCTCGCGCTACAAGGTCGTGCATACTTTGGAAAGATAGGAAAAACAATAAAACGGAAAAACCCGCACCTGTTCTTGAGAATGGGTGTGAGTCTCGGCAAAAGATCTTTGATGGGTGGAGTCATTTTGTTCATTCCAATAACGTTGACAATTGCCTATAAACAAACAAATAACTAGTGGTTAGTATCTGGTCTTCACATAAGCAACGCTCTTTTAAAAACTATTTACTGTTCGTTCATGCCAACAAAAATGTAAAATCCAAAGCTAATTATTCTTGCCGATCGCCATCTCTTTGTCTGTAAATCTTGAGCAGTTTTGAAAATGAACTAACTACGTAAAGGGGAGTCATAATAGAGAGTCTTCTAAAGTAGTGGTGCAATTTTCACAAAGTTTTGCATCGAATATGTTGGAAATAGAAACCGGTCGATGAATCTTGTCCAAGAA